CGGCCGGGTTTCGATCGAAAGTTGACGTCACGGGGGAACGAAGGACGCGCCAAACGTACTTTTGCAGGGTCGGGTTCACATTGGGCTTTTGGCCATAATTCGGTCTGCCTTGATTCACAATTGGAAGTACCCATGCTGACGTTTCAGCAGTGTCGGACTACGATGTTCAAAGTGGGTTCACATTGCAAATTGGTCCGTCGAATTCCGTATCGTGACTCGAAACTCTCGACCGGAACCACGTGATCGGCCATGTGAACCAAGTTGAGTACACTTGGTACACAATACCGTCAGCAAAGGCGGAGGCGTGACGAAATCAAACCTGTACCTATCGTGATTGGGCTATCCAAACGCGGTCGTCGACCGCGTTTCGATAGCCTCCCGGATTTGGGTAGGTTGAGGTCTAATCTTCGACTTCGATAAATTTTGTTGTTCGAAGGATTGACCGTTAGCCCGCCGACTCTGGCGGGCTGACGCCGAGTGACGCAGGTCTAGCTATCGAATCACGATAAAAGTTCTGAGAAAGTCCAATGTGAACCCGACCCAGGCTTCGATCGGTGCGTACACAAACTGTACACGGTTAGGTACACAATGCGTTGGGGGCCGGAAACCCGACATCCCGCAACCCGGTGTGCATAGGGTCTCGGGGTTGCTCCCGAGCTCGGATCCCGGGTCTCCGACAAACGTCAGCAAAACCCCGTTTTTGCCCAAAAACCCCCCTCCCAGGTGTGCATAGCCCCTCAGGCGGGGGCCTCGACTCTGGAAGGAAGCTCATGAATGCAGATTGGCCAATCCTCCCAAGTACCTTACAAACCAGAACTTCAGAAAGTTGATCGTGGCAGACGCTTATAGCAGATGCTTTTCTACTTCAAGCTGGCTAAGCTGGTTCTATGGTTAACCAAGAAAGGGGTAGGTGTGCATCCCAGCACATGAACTGTTGGTTTGACATTGTTTGGACTTTAAGTTTGGGGACGAAAGTGTGATTTCTCTCCATAGGACTTGGTTCCGCCCGCCATACCTTCTGCGATGCTGGCCCATAAAGCTGGAGAGGTTGGCACGTCAGGCAGAGAAGAGGCTTACTCTCCAGCTTCGCATAACCACTTTCTAGAAGCAGCGGGGAACCTCTCCGTTGTGAAGACGGACGATGACCTGAAGCAGCTGTTGAAGAAGTCAGGCAACAGGCCGGTAAGCCTTCTTTTGGCGGCCATGGATTCCCAAAACTTCAAGGTTTTCATGGTTTTCATAACTGTACAGCGTTTCTTGCGCCATCAATCAGCTCAGATGTGACAGGTTTCAGTGGTCAACCAGCACGCCAAGGCAATGCTGAATGTTTCCTTTCTAGATCTTCAGCATCGGTGTTGTGAGAATGGCCGACTGTTCAGAAACGCTGTTGGAACGTCTCATTAAGTGACGGACTTCTATGATCTCCGGTTGTCATGTCTCAGCAGTTGTGCCATCAACTGATTGCAGGTGGTTGTGAATTTTGGAGCCTCTTGGTGAGCAGCGCTCCACTGCTCCATTCGTCTGTTTGGTTGCTAAACAGCTGTGCCCTCTAAGTTTCTCACTACAAAAGGTAGCGGGTGCGAGATGCTGAATTGTAGTTGATTTTTCAGGAGCTTGATTGCTGTCCATCTCTGAACATTTGCAACACTTTGCCAAACAAGCTGCAGACAGGAACGGCCGTTAGTTGCCATCTTTTGAGTTCCAAATGCATGAGTTTCAGGACGTTAAGTTTGAGTAGTTGGGCGCCATTCTGGTTGACACCTCTCTTCCTGTCAAATCAAGCAACTGTATTGCCTCTAAGCGTCAGGTGTTTACCCCCGCTCAGGTGTGAACATTGTAAGCTCATGGTACCCGAGCTCGCCAAGATTAGTAAAGAGTTCCCAAAGCCGCTCTACGTCGTCGCTGACGTGGACCTTCTGCCGGAGACGTCCAAGCACGTAAAGTACACACCCACGTTCACAGTGTTTCACCGGAGCCGAAAGATAGACGAGTTTTGGGGGTCGAACGTCCAAAAGCTGAGGGACCATATCTGGTTGCACGAAGATTTGTGTGATCCTCCCCTTCCGAAAGCAGTCCCCGCAAAGAGGTGACATGAAGCACTGAAAAGGCGTGAGGATTACTTGTGAATGATGGGGGCTCCAAGAGTATAGCAGAGCAGAGCCCCATTCAGGCTTTTGCTTCCGGACTTGCTGACACCAAGGTACTCCAATGGCATCTTAGCATGGTCACGAGCGTGTGCCAGGTGTGCCGAAGGTTCCTCAGTACGTTGCTCAAACCTCATAAAGAGATAGTTAACAACATTGAATATACGTAGATCGAGACGATGGATATTGCCGCAATATTTAATGCACTGAAACTTGAGATCTAGACATACGAACAACAATTTGAGTATCATGTACTGGTTCTTCCTATTGGCCTTGGGCACTCAGATCTGATAATAAGACATTTGGAGGTTTTATCTGCACTATGTCTATACATCCATTACGGATTGTGATTGGCTACTAATGCTGCAACACAAGCCAATCTACAATCAACGATCGTGCATGATGCGGTCGCGCAGGCACGCACTGTGGGGCGAGGTCCATCTTAACTTAGGGCCCCCGGAGTAACGTATGCATCCGTTGTAGCATGCCCACCAGAATCATTTGCAGTGGCGTAGCTATCATTTGTTCTGATAAACGAGAGCCCCAGACTCATGCCAGCAATGGTGCATGGGCATCCATGTATCTATATGATTGTGATCGGGTCATCGATCTCATGACATGCAGCTTGAGGCGCAAGCTTAAGTTGAATCTTGCAACAAACCGGCATATTCTTGAGCAATTGAGTAGTCCCATGAGTATATGCATCATTGGCCATATATGGGAATCTGAAAAAGAAATGTCCGGGCCACCTGATCAACTCTTGCAGATTGTATAGCCCAATCAAACAGTGATCATTGAGTCGCTTTCGCTGAGTTGCAGCGAAGCTTATTGTTCCTGTAAGTTGCTAGTCTACCTTGGCTTATATGTCTATATCTGTGTTGTGTTGCAAGCGGATCAGTGAGCACTACCATATGAGCCACGACCTTATCTATTTTCAAGGCGTTCTTATTGACCATCTTATAGGCTGGATTGATCAAAGTTATCATCGAGTGCGCCATGTGTCTTTGTACATTTCTGTACGTATGGGAGGGGCCGCTACCTTTCATCGTGACTTCTCGTTCCCCCCAGTCTCATGTTCAACCTCTATAGCTACGACTATTTAACCCACCTTTGTACATCTTCAAACCAGACTTCAGCCCGGTGCCTCAACACGTACGACTTGGGGTTCCAAATCCCAACCTCTCCCGCAAGCTGTTCTGGAACCCCTCAGCATGACGACTCTCCATTGAAGGGATCCCCCGCTGGGCTGACCCCTCTATGTCACCACAGCCTTGGTAGCATTGACGGTGCTGGCCCCTGTCTCGCCTTGGCGCTGCAAACGTGGGCCATCTCTTCCCTGGCGATTGCCTTTGACCGGCAGCTCACACTGCAGAACGCCTTCTCTCCCCTGCAAAAGCATGCATCATGACATGTCAGCAGCTGTAAGGAAAGAAGTCTCAGGAAGTAACTTGAAACAGAGGTGAGCGTCGTACACTAAACCACAGCTTGGCCGGCGTTTCCTACGGTCAACAGACTGGAAGGAAGGACGAAATCTGTCTCATGCCAAAGTCAGCGTATGGAGTGAGAAACGCCCACATGAGTCTTCATTTGAGATGTTTTCTTGATCAGCAGCGAAACTGTAGACATAGGAAAACAAGCCCTCAAAGGCTAACGGTAATCACCAAGACCAGGACTACCAATGAAAGTTAGCAGAAAAGTTTTTGGTGGTCTCCCAAACAGGGCGCCAATTAACGGTGTCCATGTGGCGCCACTTCATAGATAAACAATCTGTGCAGCTCAACCCCTGTTACAACCTGCCAGAGACTACTCTGGCCACACACAGAGACAAGCTCTTGAAAGCATAATGCAGCAGATGCAAAAAGCAACCCCTAATCGATGAATGCTCAATCAGAAGGACAGCTGACGGGCAGAATGACTGCAGCTTCTTGGGCGCTTGCCACTTATGCAATGACTTTCGCCAGGCAATAATTAGCTTTGTGGCTGCTTGGTCTTTTTGCAATTTGCAGTCATAGAATTCACTGAAGAGGCAGCGCATTGAGATGCTTATTCGACAATTTCTGCCCACTCCCCAGAGGCATTATACAGCTACAATAAACATCCTCCTTGCAAAATATAAAGCCAACCAATAGACAGCAGGGACAACCCACGAGATGCCTAATCCATTCCAACAAGCGAACAAGCCTATAATGCATTCTCATAACTTTGTGTAATGACCCGGAACACCGAAAGCAAAGCTCTAATCCTAGAGTTAGACCTGGCTCAAATGTGCAAGAATTCTTGCTTACCGCAAGAGAAGCAGAACCAATACTTGCTGCCATCAAGCACGAGCTCAAAACCACTTTGCCTGATTGCCCAGAGGCTGTAATTGTGCATCTGAATAAAACCAGCTGAATCAGAAGAACAGGCTACAACAAGAAAATTCAGAGCTCAAAGCTCTTTCAAACTTGCAAGTGTCTGATGCCCTCACTGTTGACACAAGAAACAAGGCGACCACTCGACGCTGTGACATGCCTGCCCTTTCAAGCTTGAAGCCCTATAGAGCTATTAGCAGATTCATTGACTCTTGGAAAGTCACTGAGAGATGATGTCCTGTCTGCTGACAAGTATCGCCAACTGGCAGCCGCCAAACCCTCCATAATCATCTCAAACCCCTAGTAGACAACTTCCAGCAATGCACGAAACAGAATGCTGCCCATTTGGAATTGGCAAATGTCCTCTTCAAAGAGGGTCAAAGGGCATGATGCGCAAGATAGAAAGAGACAGCTTCCAACTTACCCGTACATGTAGATGTCCTTTTTACTGTCAAGCCCCCGCCGGCACCCCCCGCACGCGTTGAGCAGCTCCGCCACTTCCTGACCGCTGTCCTGCCGGCAGTATACAATGGGTGACAGCGTGGGTGACATCAGCTTTGTGGGTGACGTCAGCCTGCCCCCTGCCCCTCCCTTCTTGGGCGAGCGGTGCGCCGCGTGATGCAACCGCTCCGAAACCTGCTCCTTCCTGACGAACGCCGCACCCCGTGCCCCGTACTTTTGCGCCTGCGCCTCGGCGCGCTGTTGGTCGTCCCTGTCTAGTTGCTTGGGGCTCTCTGCTGAGAGGGAGTGCCGGGGGCTGTCGGTCTCATTCTGTGAGCTGGTCCACTTTGGCGACGTGTCATTGTGCACAATTTCCATGTCTGGAGGGGGGGAGACAACGGCGGATTGAATTGGGGCCTTGGAGACCTCGCACACCAATGGTTCCTGGTTCAAGGGCTCAGCATCTGGTTTGTAAACGGGGCACTTAACCGGCTTGGTGGGCAGAAAGGGGAGCTTAGTCGCAGCTGCCGATTGAGCTCTACCCCCCATCGCCCACCACTTTCTCTTGGGCTTGGTCGGTGACATCGTCACATCCGCCAAAAGCCGGCCCTTGTCGCTGTTATCCCCACCCTGTCCTAGTTCCCTCAACACCTCCCTTTGCGCCGGTTTAGGCCCCTGGTTCAGTTCCACCGGATCGTCTAGGGTCAGGCTTTCCAGGGAGGCTTTCACCGGCTCAGCCCATTCAGCGGCCCCCAGAAAACCCCTTGCCTCCTGGGGGGGTTCCGCGTCTGCCTCCGTAGGCCCCCCATCGTCAATAGGCGCCAGCACGTCTAGCGCATTCAGCTTGTTGAGGTCGCTGAGGGAATCCCTGCTGACGGTGCGCTGCAGGCTGCTCCGCGCCCGCTTGCCGAGCTTGACCGACGTTGGGTTTGCCATACTAGTTGCTGCGGGTTCGTAGCGCGTCTTGCTGGGCCGGCGAAACAATCGCAGGCAGTTCATCAACTCGAGAACAACAGCGGGTATCGCGTTCCCCGCCCACCTGAGAAGTGCCACCAAGAAATGAGCTCCAATTTGAGGTGCCCAAAAGCTGAATCCGGCTCCTGCAGCTCAAAACCTCAAGAACAGAAGGGAAAGGCTAAAAGGACGATTTAGTGGTGAAAGGGGCAGCACCTCAAAGGGACGAAGTGCGCCGTACCGCCCAGGGAGGAGTAATCAACAGCCGGAGGCGCCCGCTTTGCTGCGCTTCATGACGGGACAAGCAGTGAAAATATCCCTTTCGAAAGGTGAGCAACCATGAGCACTCGTCTCGTTCTTGAATCGACTCGTCGCACGGCATGCGTAGCTGCACAGGCACGCCACTCCCCCTCGCAACGCAAACATCATGATGGAGATTGTGCATCATGTGCCACAAAGACCGGACAGGCTGGACAATTGGAATTTGGGGGAGTCAAACCGACTTGCGAATGCAAAATTTCGACCGTTTGCGGCAACCCCGGTACTCATAATGCATATTGATTGTGCTTCCGGGGAGCTAAGCGCCGACATATTCGGGACGTGAATGGAGACCCGGTCACTTGGCGTGGGCCGGCGTGAAATTTGGTGAAGTACCGGTACCTTGTTAAAGTGTCGTGCGCCGTGAGACCGGAGGACTCGGAAGTCGATAGGTAGTCGCGGACTCGCGGGACCCTGTGAACGTCGGGTTGAGATTTCGAGGTAACCGGTAGCAAGCACAAAACCCGGTAGCAGGTACGCTTCTGCGGCTTTGCCGAACGTAGCACGCGGGCCTGGGGATTCCGGTCCTGGTTTGAATCTCGGAACCATGTGGAGCACCACGTGATCTCAACTTCAAAATCCCACATGGGCATCGGTGGCGAGCCAATGAAATGCGTGAGCATCCAACCGCTTTCATAGCATGACGTAGATACAAGCCACATGGCAATGTCAAAGTGCGCCACCTTGCTCAGTTTTCGCTGTCACGTACTGTGATGACGTAAAGTAAAACCGCCGCTTGCAGGCCGATCATATGATTGAGCATCAAATAATTTGCAATTGCGGTCGTTTCTGATTCCGGAAGATACGCACAGCTTAGCATTGTCCCACGTGGCCGCGTAGCATTGGTGCATCGCAAAGATTCTGTCTCCCTTCCGCGCCGTTGATAAAATTTGGACTGGTACGGATGGCCCCCGGACCCGGATCGATTGCACTATACCCAGCTAGCCTGGAGTGGACTTAATGCACATGTGCAACCTCCTTGGTAAATCGCGCAAATGCGCGTACCAAACTGCCGTTTGGGGCCGGAGGTAGTCGCCATCAGCTTTTCAAGTCGATCACCCATCATTGTGTTCGTCCGTTCCTCACTATCAAAAGTGAATCCGGCAAAGGTATGCTTGAATATTGCGGACTGCACAAACGATCAGCCTGCTTCCGCAATACACTCGGCAAGAGCTTGAAGAAAGGAAATGCCCGGTCTTTCATTGTAAGATCGGCCAGACCTTCAATCTCAGATCACCCTGACTGTATCAAAACAGAAATCCGCGCTACTTCTGGCCGCAACGTCAAACCTACATGCCTGGCCCGCAAGCAATTGATTGGCAGCACATATGCAGCTCATTGCTTCCTTATAATGGAACGGAACCAACGGAACGGAACCAAGAAGGCACTGCCTGATCATGCCCACAACTTTCGGTAGGTGCCCAGCAACAGTTTGATCTAAAGATTCTTCACCAACCTTTGTGGTGAGTTTAATATGCTCGCTAGCAGAACGCCCAAAAGCTCACAAGAGTTTGCTTAAGGAGGCAGCCTACACACAAGAACCCTCTCCGCTCATAAGCTAGCCACGCTACCCACCTTGCCGTGGATAAGCCCACAACGGTTACACACGTTCGCAAATGAATCACGTTGAGCGGCACTACAAACTCATCATCGGACTAAAACTCTACGCCTTATCGTCGAGCATCTTCTGAACGGCCTCGTGCACCAGCTCTTGCAACGACTTGCCGCTCCTAATCGAAAGCTCCGTGAGCGAATCCAAAGTGTCCTCCTTGATGATGAACGATCTGGCCTTGGGGCCGCCCCTCCGGACGGGCGTGTATGTGGCCGCCTTCTGCCTCAGGTGGTCGAAGCCCTGCAAAAGGAGGCAGCGGAATAGGAACCCCGTCAGATGAAATGGACGTCACGAGATCAAACGTCACTCGGGCTAAGCTCGGGGTCAGAGAGGATTGTCGTCTGGAGCGAAACGGACGAGAAATGCGACCAGATGATAGGAAAAGATAACAGGAGGGCCGTGACATGAGAAAGAGAAATGAAAAGGGGGGGGGCAACAAAGCAACGAAAGGCTGACGGATCAGAAGAGACGTAAGGAAGGATCGCAGATGGAGAACAAACAATCTACAACAAAGGAAAAGCCGTCGATTGGGACAAGACATGTACCACAGCGCAACCACGCAAGCAGAAGAACGAAGGGACGAAGGGGGCCATGTGAGGTGAGAGGATGGTGGGCACACTGGCAGAAACGAAGGCTACCTACGTCAGCAAAAGCAATATTAAGCAATGGCCAGCAGGATCAACCGGGCAGACTCGCCGTACTAGTCACCAAGAACACAACGGACAGCGATGTCAGCAGACACCAGAAGTACCCAACATTTGCAAAGACGCAAGACCACTATTGGAACGCTGTTGTTCAGCAATCGACTTACCACTCTGTTTACGTACTCTCCCAGGCTCTCGGCCGGGCCCCTTTCGTCCCTCCACGTGGCAAGAATCGGCTCAATCGTCTTTTCGAGGTCCTGCACCTTCATCTTCTCCTGATACGTTTGCGCAAGCGCCGTCTGGTTTGGAGTGCCGCCCAACCAGATCTGCGGCCAACAAAGTTTCCGGTTAAGTTGGAATGTCTCCGGGTAATTGGAATTCCGACTTACTGATCTGAAGGATGCTTTGCTGCTCGAAAGACCCTGTCGACAGATCTTCCAACCAACTTTGGACTTCACAGAGGAGTGCTAAATCGCAATCAAATACCCGCTTCCGACCTTCCAAGTCATACAGGGTGCAAGCTTTGGGAAATTCAGCACGTGGGCAGGAAGCTGGCGTCGATAAGTGCCACAATCGGTTGGAACCGGGAGCAAGTTCGAACAATCTGGCCTCCGAGAGGTTCGTGACAAGTTTGATGAAACGCTGCAAAGCCAATCTGCAGCCACACCGAATCATCAACTATGCAAACCCAACACTCGGAGCAACCCGTTTTTCCTGTAACAAATGGATGAGAAAACGAATAAAACGAACCCGCACGTTTCGAGCTTTCCGCTCAGATTTCAAACGCTTTCGAACCTTCTTCATCGCGCCGCCGAATTCAGACCTCTTTTGATGTGGACAGGAAAGAGAAAGGAAGGGACTCAAACAAAGTACAGGAACCTTGAGCGGCTCGTCCCAATGAAGCCAAGCCCAGAAACTCGCCAACTGCTCGGGCAAACTTTCCTCTTTTTCCTCGCGTTTCCTCACCTGGTAGCTGTTGGGCCCATCGCCCACAAACCCAAGCTCCGCCATGTACGGCCGGGCGCACCCGTTAGGGCAGCCCGTCATGCGCACAACGAAGGTGTCGTCGGACTTGCTCATCTTCAGCCTATTCATGATCCCCCGGAGGCGCTTGTTGATGTCCGGGAGGGCGCGCTCCGCTTCGGTGACGGCCAGCCCGCAGAGGGGGAACGCGGGGCACGCCATGGAGGTTACTGTCAGGGGGTCAAGCTTGTTGGCGGCGACCTGTGGGAGACAGAACTTGGATTGAGGATCTAAAAGCAATCACACTCGTTTCGACCAATTTTGAACAGAGATGTAGATTTCAAAAGGAACTGCGATTAAACTTCGGGGTTCAGTCAACGCAGAGGAAATGCGTGAGGCATGGGAAGGAGGTCACTGTGCGGGGGGGTCGAGCTTGTTGGCGGCGACCTGTGGGGTCGAACTGTGGGTAAGTATACAATTATCGTTATGAAAAACCGACAGGCAAACAATTAAAATCAAACGGTTGATTCTGGAGGAACACCGACTAATCGGGCCACGCCACGCACTTCTAGTTCACTTCTAGTTCTATAAAACGGTCAATAGAACGAACCCATTCGCTTTTGCCTATTTGCTTCCTTGATTTCAGGGGACTAGCAAGCGGCTTATTGGAGTCATCTCCAAAGACTGTCTTGATCTCAATATTGAGCTTTGCTGGCAAAGACCAAGCATGACGACCAGTGGGCTCACCACCGCGCCGGCGGCCTGCAGCATTCTCGTGATCGGGCTCCGCCAGGCCTTCTTGACGTCGCACAGGACGAGGTTCTGGTTGGCGGTGATCCGGACGGGCAGGTCGTACGTGTCCAGCACCGCCCGGATGGCCTTCTTCAGGTCGCCCTTGATGCGCCCGTTCTCCACGTTCAGACCCAAAAACAGCTTGCCGTCGCCCTGAGAGAATGACAAAAACGGTCAGCTAAAGAAATGCCGCATCTGGTTGCCAACCGGACCCTGCGGTCCGTCGAACACGAGATCGCTTCTCGATCTTAAAAATGCCCCTTACGACTTTCAGGTCCAGAAATATCTTGCCGTCTCATTTCCGCCTCCTCGAAGATACAAAGCGAGCTCATATTTGACCACCTTACACATGACGAGCCCATTTTCGAGCGAGGCATCCTTGGGCAAAAGGTTTTCACTCTGATAACTCGGTGAGACTTGCAAAGGACTCTGGATCACAGAACCTCGCAACCCATAAGACAGAGCCTCGCAACTCGTAAGTCCACAAGGTTTCGAACCTTCCTCTGAAAAACAAGAGCCTCACCTGCTCTTGCCAGCCAAGGTAGTGCTCAAACCTCCACTCGGGCAGCTCCCGGAACGACTCAAACTTCTTCCCGTAGTACTGCTCCGTGACCGTCCGGAACTTGTCGATCCCCCAGTCGTGCACCAGGTACTTGAGGCGCGAGAACTTGCGGTCGTCCCGCCGCCCATAATCGCGCTGCGTCGCCACGATCGCCTTAACGGCGTACAGGATGTCTTCTTTGGGCACGTATCCGAGGGGCAGCGCAAGCGCGGGGAATGTTTCCTCCTTGCGGTGGGTGCGCCCCATGCCGCCACCTGGCAGCGCAGGACGGGGTTCGTTTAGCTTTACTCAGGGGGGCCAAAGTGAAGACTAAAAGTCAGGGCCGTCGGACGAGCAATTTCGGATCCAGTTGCGCGGTTGGCAAAACACTTGTCCAGTGGATCATCCAATTGTCGAGAACAGCACCTCCATTCCTGTCTATGATGTGAACCAAACAGGGGTCAAGATGTATGGTCAGACCGCTTGAGGTACTCCACGCAGGGATTGCGAAGAATAAGATGGAAAGAGTAGAGCAAAAGACTCGCTTGCCAACCGTTTGTCCGCTTCATTAGAGATCTTCGACCGATTCGTCACAAACCTAAGGAGCTGCATTTGCTTGCAGCGCCGCTCTAAGGGAATCCCACAAAACCAAACCCCTCGTCCTGCTGTCATGCCACGAAGTAGGTTCCTAGCTTTGCAGAACAAACGTTCCTCCGCAAGCCCAAAGACAGGGCAAGGGGCCCGACTAGTGAGGCGCAAAAACGGCTTAAATTCAGGGAGCTCACCGACGTAGATGTCGAATCCTTCCAGCTCCCCCGTCTTGTCCGTGATCACGACCAGGCCCAAATCGTTCGTCAGAATATCCACCGAGTTGTCCCCCGGAACCGTAATTGCAATCTTGAACTTCCTAGGCAGGAACTGCGTGCCGTAGATCGGCTCGGGGGATCCCTCAAAGTTGGTGCCGTGGCTGTTGTCGTTCCGAGCCTTGGTGACCTCAGGGTCCTCCTCCGATGACATCACCTTCTCGCCGTCCAGCCACACATCGTAGTAGGCGCCAGCCTGGGGCGCCAGAAGGTCCGCAATTTTGTCGGAGTACTCCTGAGTGTACCTGTAAAATGTGTGACAGGGTTAGGTGAGCTCCAGCTCCTGGCGAGTCTAGAACTCCAAGCGGACGACCGGCCAGGGTCAACAGCTGTCCAACAATACTCCTGCATATTGCGTCAAGCAATCCCCGCGAATACTAGTAAATGCAGATACCGCTTTGCAAGCTTGACACCAGATTGAGCAGATCCAAAACCTGACTGTACCTAACACCGCCTGAACTCGGATTCAGCAGATCCGATGGAATTTGCAGCATCACACAAACGATTCACAACCACAGACACCATGTCCAATAGCAGAATCTACACTGGCAAAGCTGACTGCGAGCTCACTTGTACTCAGGCTTGTCCGCATACGGCGCCGCGGGCGCCAGGATGTTCCTGTTCACGTCCCCGCACGCGCCCAGCGTCGACCCCATGTTCTTGATCACGGTGCTGAACACCGTCTTCATGTCCTGTTTGAGCACGCCGTGCAGCTGGAACGTTTGGCGCGTCGTCAGGCGCAGCGTGCCGTTCCCGTACCTGTCGGCGAGGTTGTCCATCGTCTTATATAAGCGGTTGTCCACCTTGCCCCCCGGCTGCTTGGTGCGCATCATGAACTGGTACGCCTTGCCCTGCCCGAACGTGCGCTTCTCACGGTCATCCTGTACACACGAGCAAAGAAGGCCGTCAGATTCTCACAATCTGATTATTGGCGCCCTTCGCAGGCTATGCAAAGAGATTGAGGGCCTTTGGGCCTTTATGTTACAGATACGAAGAGCGGCCGGCTGTGAGAGACAAAGTGAGTGCCTTTATTTGAGGGGTTTCGCAAAATCGCGGAGACTGGCAGGTATGCCAATGGACCGAAGTGCTCAAATTAAGGTACTCCAACCCAGCAGTTTAGGCCGCCCGAACTAATTCAGAAGCCAGCTTAGCAGGCATTGCTGAAAATCCAACTTTGATCTGCCAGCTCGGTGGACCATGCCAAATGGGGTCATGCCAAGCTCGAAACTGGCGAAGTTGTTGCCCCTCAATTGCAGGCCACTTGATCACAGCTGAAAGATCCTGGGAAGCATCCAAAATAAGTGCCGATCATATTAGGTGTGGTCTTAACTTCTTCTGGGGACCATATAGAAAGAGACACATCGGCGCTTCCCTTGATCTTCAACACCCTTGATACCGGTAGTAGGCTTCTTCCAGTGGCGCACTGCTGGCACTGAATGTACGGTCTAAACTGTCTTTTTCTAACCATTCTTTTCAGATGTAGAGTTCCTCATTCACAACCTCCAAGGTTGACTTCCTCAAGACTGCACCTTTGGCACCTGTGGTGGCACTGCTTAAGCAGATTCCCTGCTCAATTATCCATAAACTACTACCGCACCTCGTCCTGTGTTCTACAGAATACAACCCGTAGATCGTTTTTCGTAAATCGTCATTCATGTTAAGACTGCGGCGCTTGCCTGCAAGTTGGATGCTGTAAGATTGACTTTCAAACTACAAATACCTCGGCTACTCTGGGAGATCCAACCGGGAGATCCAACCATCCCCTTTTTGCGACAGAATTATGCACAGACACTTTAGTAGACCGCGCGCACCTGCTGGTAGCTGCCGTGGAACTTGATGAGCTGCACCGAGGGCTCGCTGACGTTCGGCTCGTCGTTTGCCAGGTCCTCGATGAGGGGATACCGCAAGAAGTTGCTGTTCTCCTTGATGATCTCCACCTTGCTCCGCTTAGCTGGGGCAGAGGTCGGTGCCTTGCGGGGCTGCACGAGCACGAGCATGCGCTCAGATTTTTTTTTTTTTAAAGGTCGTGGCATGTGCTTCTTTCTTTGTGGTGTCCTGGTGGTAGAGATCGGCCCAGATTCCCCTTTCTGTCAGCAGCTCTTTGGTGGCCTCTACTAATACTTGGCAACCGAAGCCTGAGTGAACGCCTGATTGCTGTGTGACAGAATCCGTCAGATGACCAAGCAAGCAGGCCTCAACTTTTATACAGCACGACTTTGAGCTGCGGAATCAACTTCAACACCGCACAACCTGCCCCGCACGTTTGAACCAGCAATTGGCAAGCCAGAAGTGGATGCAGGCGATTCCAATCGTCAGTTCAAAAGCGCAGCTGGATCATAGATTTCACAGCTTCAGGGCAAACCCCTTCCACACACACGTTGTGAAAAAATCAACAGGGAGACTAGTATGTTCAAGGTAGGAGCTTCAAGAACCCCCAAAAGCACCAATTCCAAATAAAATCCTAATGCCAGCAACTTGAACTTGGCCGACTGGATACTGAGCATTCTAATTTGAGCGCCAGTACAAATTGATAAACCCCTTGGCGCTGTACCAAAAAAACCATACTTTGACTCCCCACCTTTACCATGTGGAATGCGATCACCATTACCAATATTGCGAGGACAACCCAATGGTCAGATCGTATTTTCTCCGAGACATCAGATTTCATCTTTGTGTGGAAAAAGAATGCAGGGCAACCTCTGCGAGTTTTACGAGGATGAAGGAGGTCCAGTGGGTCAAATATAATTGAACAACCAGAATCATGTCGTGTCCACCATACCTTGTAACTGCTTCCTCAGAAGCAATCACGTATGGAACAGAGCTTATGGAAGCCTCCAAGCAGACAGTTTTCTTCCCAACACAGACACTCCGAAGAAAGGCAGCTTTTGCCCTTGAGTACGATTCTTTAAGCCCTTGATCACAATCTTGAAAGGAATCAGATCAGGAATCAGCCAGGCTTCCTAGTAACAAGCACTTGACCAACCACAAACCAAACTTGGATAACAATAATTCCTTCCTGTAAACCCAACAAACGTTGCTCACCGCCATCACAGCAGTTGGAGCGGCATGCCTCCCAGAAGTGCTGGCAGCCTTTGACAGTCCATCCTGCCCTCCCTTCAACTGGCATCCTAGAAAGGAGCTGGTCCCAGCCAAACTCTCCCCTGGACCCAAGAACGGGCTTCCTACTGCACAATTACTTCTCCTGTGGGCATTCGCGCGGCAAGAAACCCCCCAGTTGGTGGCGATCGTGGATGAGGCAGACCCAGCAACCGCCGCCGATGTTGCCATGGCTGCTTAGATTTGGCAGCAGCCGACCAAGTGCCAAACCTATTCCCCAACCGCACTTCTGCCACCAATCAGATTCTCCAAGACGAAGACGGACCAGCTAGTGCTTACGAAAAGTGCTACAAACCCTCTACAAAACACCACCTCCAAAGCGCTTTTCGATCCCTGCTCGACGACAATCCTGCCCCCAGCACGCTTTGACCTCCACTGTTTCGCCCAGCCTGATGTACCCTCAAGATTGTGAACATTGGAGACGTTTCTCGCAGCGAAGGGATCAACGTGGGCAGCATCTCATGAGCAATGACGTCACCCGCGTCAAACGGCCAAATGCAGAGGCCTCGAAAACAGCTCTCCGCCCTCCGATAGCTGTACAGCTCGAGATCCGACGGTCATCAAAATCGATCGCGCGTTCGATATTGGGTCCCATATGAAGCACTGTACCTACTCTCTTCGGACTTTTCAACAGTGCCCGTGCATGAATGCACGTTATTGCATACATGAGGAGAGAAGGTGGAAATCAGAGTAACCCTTTGTGGCCGGATGTTGCCTTTTGTTGCCAAGCCTTACACAACGTTGCAAATAGGCCCGGAAAGCAACGGTTTCGGCCCAGACTTGATAGGGTGGTGTCAAATGACTAAATGCAACATACAAAAAAATAAAAATAAATTCTGGGGGGGTCCCGGCCCAAGTGCGCGGCCCCCCCATGCCATGCTAATTTATTGAATTGGGGCGATATCGGCTTTGCGCGCGGAAGGCGCGCGGGATTGTTGCTGAGTTCATGTGGCATAAGTAAGTAAGTAAGTAAGTAAGTAAGTAAGTAAGTAAGTAAGTACCGGCCGCTACGATCCGCTATCCGTACGTGTTCGTATTAAAGGGCGCAGTACTGTCCACAGCAAATGTTGGTGTGGTGACATTCGATTCTCGCTCCGATTGCACGAATCTGGGAGGTGGACATAAAGGTGACCTGGGCTTTCACAGGAAGTCGATTGCCATAGCTACTTCCACCTTCTAGTCCTTGGCCAGGTCTTCAAATCTCGGCAATATTGGTGCGTCATGGCGTCAACGGCTGCGGTGGGCCTGTTGATCGTCCTTTTCTCCTTGAGCAACCCGATTCTTTCCAGAGCAGCGACGGCTTATTACGACATCAGCGAGTGAGTGGGCACTGTCCTAATGTCACTTTGGAAATAACATTGATGACTCTACTGCTGTATTGCTTCTTCTGACCTCTTTATTTACTGGATTTTTAACGTGTCATCATCAGATCTGGAGTACGTCTCTCAAGCTTCCTTCTTCAGCAGAAAGATTGGACGCCACAATCCTCGATTCTCTAGCGTTGGTCTGGGGCTCACGTGCTCGAGACCTCAAATGCTATTCTTGTCCATCCCGTCAGAAGTCGATCAGCAGAATGCTATACACGGGAGGCTCTTGCAATATTGCTGTATCTCCTTTGGTTATTTGACACCTGAAAATTCATTTTGCAGGATTTTTCATGTTGTGTGCTGGACCTACTTATCGACTTAATCGCATGAATCTGTCTAGTTCTTGTGTGCGCATTGTTCTGCATGCACCATCACCCATGCATACAGGTTCTTTCACAATCTAGTTGCTCACGCAATTCCATATTTTTTCCTGAAGGAGGAAATTACTATGTCAATTTTCTTGCTTAATTCTAAGGCTTCAACAAGCACTTTGATGTTGCTGATGCTAGTGCTACCCTTGCTCTGCCAATGTACTTTGACCACTCCATATAAGCACGACGCCATGTCTATTGTAGTCACTTGCCATCTTCAGTGTATCATGACAAATTTTTCATGCCCAATAGTATGCGTTTTATATTGTCGATATTTGTACGACCTTGCTTTGTAATTTGAAACCAGTTACCTTTCAGGCCATCAGGCTGACTTGGCACCAGGTCCAGAAAGGATGACAAGAATGAGCTCTCCACCCCAGAATCAAATCTTCAGCTGTATCAGCTTCATCCAAATCCTCATAATTCACACAACTTGAATCTGTGACTATCCGTTCTGCAGAGGCAGTACATACATGCTATCTTTCTAATTGCAGGTATGCTGAAGTGTTCTCTCCATCGGGCCCAAGGCAGAGTATCATGATGCCGACGAAGCTTGGGGAGATTCTTGCATACAACAATGATTTGAAAGTGGGAGACGACCGAGGCACTGTAGTTGGTTTTGTCAATGGGAACTGCATTGTATCGGCAGAGATTACAGACGGCATCCCCAATACGGCGTACGAGTGCTTGGAGACCCTGGTTTACACCGGCGGGAAGTATGCAGGGAGCGCGCTTACTGTTGCTGGTAAGGGAGAAATGGTTTCATTATCATTACATACTGCTTTGAAGCCATTTATGATTGGAGGTCTCTCCCTTGTGCCCTACTCTTTTAGATCTACTCAGTTTTTACATGATTCTACAGAAGCACACATTATGCATGACTGAGGCTGTATGCCTCAACCCACTTCTATTCATCTGACAATGGTGAAGGACTCAGTAATAAAATCGTGGCACGGTGTCCTTTGTCTGGGTGTCTTGGAGCATGGAGTATGCATCTGCATCAATGAGGTGCCAAAGGCAACAGTACGTTGCATCACCAGTATCAAAGAAGGAAAACCATTGAACAAGGACTCAAACCAAGAATAATGCTGTTCACCTGGCCTTCAGAGAATGTTCTTCTTGATGAACTTGTGTACCGAATTCCTCATTGTGCTAGTGGTCTGGTGCCTTATCAACTGAGGGGATGCCTAAGGAACCAACCAAATTAAGCACTGAATAGCATCAATGGCTTGGCAAGCTCTTAATGATGGCTTTAATTCGTTTATCCAGGTTCAGATGGTTGATTTTAAAGGATCATGAATGGAACTTCTGCTGCTTGCAATGTTTGTGCGAGTAATTGTCTGTAGCAATGGCCTAACGTATCAAACCCTACTTTTGGGGACTCGGACCTCTCTCAATGTTCTAAAATAAATAGCCCACTTCTTTTTGCCTTACAGGTTATTATGACTTCGTCGAGAACGGTCCTCTTGCCATTGTGGGTGGGACCGGACAGTTTCGGGGGGCAACAGGCGAACTGAATTATGCGTATCCTGACAATAGCTCCGCTTATTCGATACCTAGACTTGTCTTTGTGACTCCAACATTTCCGAACTCGATGACGTGCGACCCCGGCAGCAAGAACCCTAACCAGGTGAGGTTATTGAAAAGCTGTCGATTGTTCTGCATTTTGCGTTCTATTTAAGGGCCTTGAAACTGCGTTGGAGATCCGCCCCAGGTGCTGCTCGGGTGCAAGTTATTCGATTGCTCCTGCTCTCATCCCCATCATCATATCATATTACGGTGCGCATAGAGATCTATGGAGTCTAAGTTCTGGTGGGTGGTGGGAACTCTTTCCAAAGGCGGATAAATTTGCATGCGCTGTGGGTTGCTGCGCTCTCCGACTATGCACTGGTTGTAAAGGACTTCAAGTTAACTTTCTCGGAGGTCCGCTTCAGAATATCCATTTGCTTGGCTGTTCTACGATCTTTGACAATCATGCATACTTTCATCTCGTCCTCGGCCATTTCTAGGACGAGTTGCGCATTTTTTGAGAGATGTGTTATGTGGTTTTACGACCAAAAACATCCCAAACGTTGCCCGCTTTCTTGTATGCAGTGCTTTAATGCAGATGGATCGTCGTTCGTCTGCTGTACGAGTGCATGCGGCAACTCTGGCTCAACCGCCAGTTGCGAGTGATACATGTTGGCCTTCTCTTGTCCGTCATACCAGTGGCTTCAGTGAATTTGCTGGCATCGCTTTAAGCATGTGTGATGCGTTCAATGTTCTGAAGGAAAGCAAGAGCGAACAGGTATTAGTGCACACCCTTTAAGGCCTCGTTGTAGTTTGCGTCGACGCTGCTGAGCTTCACATGCACTTGCGCCGTCGTTGAAGCAATTCGTTTCTAAAATCCCGGAGGAACACTGGCTGCATCCGTCATTCTGTAGCGCATTCTACACAACGGAGGTGGTCAGACCCGATTTCAATAAAGCATGCGGCCCTTTGCTGCAATGACTTGAAAGTGTCCAAAACATGTAATTGCTCGGTGACTCTTAGTTCTGGCGTCTAATTGTAGATGTGGCTCGGTATTCCTTGTGCCACGCAGAAGAGGGTGTGATGTATATTCGGAGAGTGGGAGTGCGGTTTTGTGAACACGGCCGACGAATAAAGGTTCGAAATATTATAGCCGTTTGCTTGGCAAGAAAGTCGCAATCGAGCTCTTACCTCGTTTGACGGCCGGCTGATGTACATGTGTTGGTACTCGCGAGAGCTCAGCATGCGCGGTTTCTGCGGTCTATGTTCTTTCCGGCATCATCGCGTGCCAACCATAGCAACATTTGCCATTGGTCTGTTGCTAAAATAAGTTCAACAGCCCCACTCGGGCGAAATACTGAATGTATTGGCATTGATAGCTTATTGCCAGGCCGGATTGGACTGGGGCACGACGCACGATGATGGTTTGGTGGGGTAACCAGACGTTCGAAGCTCAAACAAGAAAGCACATGAAAACCTATGGTGCATGTGACCACGGCGTTGTGAAAAAAAAACACTGTCCTGAAACCTAGAACATGCTCTTGTCTTGGCCACTTGAATTGGTCCAGCAAAGAAGCAGCTTGGAAACTACGGTAATACTTTGAACACCGAGCGTTGGTCATTCGACCTCAACGTAAGATCGTATGTAAACACCGTTTTGTTCCTGGCATGGCCCTAGGTGATGTTTCGATTGCCAAAACTATTCTAGCACCCCTCGTGAACGCAGAATCAGCTTTTCCAGCAAATTGTTGGCAGTTCGCAGAATATTGCAGCATGGCTGGCACAATGTTTTTGGGATATGGCTTAAATTGCACGAAGATAGACTACAGAAGCCAACTCAAATCGATCAAGGTGTTGAAGATGGCTCGACTGCGTACTGGACAAATATTACCCCATTGCACGGGTAAGGGCACCACCATGTTGTCCGGGGTTGTGCTGTGTGCATCTTGAACCGTTCGCAATAGAAATATCGGGCTGCCATAGTGCACTCTGCATTTACTGATTTGCAAGGGAAACTAGTTATCGCGAAGACACTACAATGATGCGTTTCGATGCGGATGGTAAATATCGCCGAACAAGTACCATATATTCGGGGCTCCTAGCGTCGACTGACCAGTACTAGCTACGGTGGTGAGATCGAACCCAGTGCCTTCTCTCAGGTGTAGAAGCTCGGCTTTCACAGCGGAAGCGCCGATCAGAGTCCTCTTCTTTGCACTGCCTTTCAACCAAGCCCGCCATGTCGATCAGCGGAGTCGCAAAGAACGGGTGCTCCGGCGTCACCGCCTTTTCAAAGATGCGCAGCGAGCGCTCATAGAGTGGGAGCGCCTCCTCGTACCGGCCCCCGGCTCCGCCGCAGCCCCACCATGTACCCAATGTGGTCGCCACCGACGGGTGCTGCGACCCCGCCGCTTTCTCGAAGCGCGCTGGAACAGCGCCTCCCAGTGACTGCCCTGCCTCTCCAGCAGGTCCGCCGTGCCGTTCAGCGTGCTCGTCCAAGCTTGGGTGTGACGATTCGAGTCTATGAATCTTCATATCGAACTCGTCCCAGTATATTGTCCGCGCGCGTATGGCGTATCTGCTATCTGCTTTGCTCGATATCGTATACT